GATGCTGATTGAGGGAAAGAAGAATGCAAGATTGTATAAATTGATAATTGTGTAATGGGGTCAGCCTGACTAGATATCCTGGGAGATAGTGGACGGACCGGGTCCGTAGGGAACCCTACCGGGATTGTGGTCTCACATGCCGGATGGGGTATGAAGATCTTATGGTTTTGGCGCCCATACCGGACGGGGTATGGGGACGGCCCGTTTCACCCTCATACCGGACGGGGTATTGAGGTTTATGGTTTTGGCGCCCATACCGGACGGGGTATGGGGACGGCCCGTTTCACCTTCATACCGGACAGGGTATTGAGGTTTATGGTTTTGGCGCCCATACCGGACGGGGTATGGGGACGGCCCGTTTCACCCTCATACCGGACGGGGTATTGAGGTTTATGGTTTTGGCGCCCATGCCGGACGGGGTATGAGGACGGCCCTGGAAACTGATTATGAATGTTAAAGGTTAACGGGTAGCGGGACCCTTATGGACCCCCACGGATACTAGTAGGCTGGTAAATGAGAAAAAAGATATGTTGTATAATGATTGAATTACAAGAGGCGTGATAAGTGTTATGTTTTACAGCTTATATTATTCCATGATTATGATAATGTTATTGTTTTTCTTATATTGTTTCATAAATTCCACCGAGGTAAGTGGATGGTAAAGGGTTTTATTACTGATAAACGAGTTTATTGTGAATTATGCTCCATTGGTCTTTTTGTGTTTTCTACCCACCTTTACCTCCGTGACGGTGAGATATCGTGATGTTCTTACTGGGCTAGTGTACCTCACTCCTTATTTAACCATTTCAGATCAGGAAGACATGGTTCCCGAGCCCATTCCGCAGGAGGACGACGAAAGGGATGCCTAGAGACTCTGTAGTCATACTCATAGCTTTATTTTTGAGTTTCTCTTTTAGTTAGTTTAATCTTTTATATTTTAAGCACGTTTTTTGTTTTCGTGTAAGGGATGTTAAATGAAATTTTGATCTCGCTTCCGCATTTGATATATTTAAATACTCATTTCATTTTAATATTTCCGGGGTCGTTACAATAATAAAATGGGGTAAAATTATTTTTGGGATTTAATTGAAATTGATTTTGGGAAAAATGTGTGAAAATTTGAATTCTGATGGTGTTTTTGAAAAGAAAATCGAAAATCGATGGTCAAAACGTAATTTAGAAAAATAGTGTCACGTCAACAGCTGCGTCAGCAATCCCGGCCAACCAGGACACGCCGCGTGGTAGGGACGCTGACGCAGGAAGCCACGCAGGACGGAGACACGTGGGCAATCTGCGTGCGCGCGATCGGACGGCCCAGATCCGTTCCCGCGCGCACGGACAGCCTAGATCTCACGCGTGCGAACTGTTCAGATTTAATCATGCACAGACGGCCCAGATCGCATCGCGATGGACGGTCCAGATTTATTTTAAATTTAATTACGATCGGATGGCCCATATTAAATCATGATGGACAGCTCATATTAAAAGAGGAAAGTTATAAATAATCGCATCAACACCCAACCCTAAACCCTAGCCGTTAGAATCCTCGTATCGGAGAAGACGACTCAGCCACCGGAGGAACCGGTCGCTGCACCGGAGGATTCTGGCCGCCAAACGACTTAAAATTTCTCTTCTTACCTTGTTTTTCGATGCTAAACCTCCCTGTAACTAAATCAGAGCAAAACCACCGGCTGATTGGCTAGAAAATACTGCCGAAGTCCAGCGGCGCCGCCGCGGGGTTCCTAAGTTTTTGCCTCCGATAAGGCCCTTTCCAGTTCCCGTTCGATGTAATTTTTATACCACTGTGACCACCATCTTTTTCTCTACAGGTTGACCGGAGCAAAACACCAAATCGTGACTTGCGCCGGAGGAGCCACCGTACCTGAGAGCTCCGCCACCGGTAAGTCTCAGTTTTCTGTAATTTTTTGGCCCACTGAGGGCCCTAGGGGTGTTTTATCACAAGAACTAATGCAAGTTTGGTCGAATTTGGCCGAAAACAGCCAGAAACGGCCAACTCGAGGCAGATTGCCGCCGTGCCGAAATTCCAAAATTGGTCAAAAAGGCCCTGGGTCTGATTTGGGATTTTTTGGGGACATGTGTAGGTACCGGAAATGTGTTTCAGTTTCCGAAAAAAAAAATCAAGAAATCTAGGGACTGCTCGTAGGTGCAGTGAGAACCCAATTTCAAACTCCGAAACATGTAAGGATCCCTCACCCTATTTTCTATCACGGCATTAAAGCTTAATAAATGATAAAACAGTATTTTATGAATTAATAGATATGTATAATTAATTAAGATTGTTAATGGGGCCTGAACCTGATGTATTTGTCGGTCTGTTCTTGCTTGATTTATTTTACAGTTTTAAATGCATTATGATATCTGATCTATTTATTTTATAGTTTTGAATGCATAAATCACGGTTTCATTTATTATGGTTTGAATTATTGTGAACCCGATTTTATGTTGCCTTGTTTGGTGTCCATTACTGGTTTATGTGTTTATGTTTGATTGGATAATTGAGATTAAAAAAATGGAAAAATGTATGTGAATTGATAAATAGATAATGTCAACAGCCTAATTAGATATCATGAGAGATGGTGGACGGACCGAGTCCATAGGGAACCCTACTGGGAACGTGGTCTCTCATATCGGACGGGGTATGGAGACTTTATGTGTTTTAGCGCCCATACCGGACGGGGAATGGGGACGGCCCTGAAATTAAGTTATTAATGTGAATGGTTCATGTGTAGCGAGGACCCCTTATGGATACCCATAGATACTAGTAGGCTGATAAAAGAGGAAATTTGTTGCTTGATGATTGAAATGCAAAAGTATAATATGTGTTATGTTACAGAGTGTGCATGATCTTATGATGTTATTGTTTCTCATAAGCTGTTTTCATGAATCTCACCGATGTAAGTGAACAGTAAATATTTTTATTATTGATAAATGAGTTTGTTATAAATTATACTCCATTGGTCGTTTTTATTTTCTACCAACATTTACTTCTGTGACAGTGAGATAGTGTGATGTCTTTACTGGGCTAGTGTAGCTTATTCCTTACTTAACTATTTCAGATCAGGAGGACTTGGTTCTCGACCCCGTTCTTAAGGAAGACGACGAGTAGAAGCCTAAGAACTTAGTAGTTTTCCTTATAGTATTCATTTATAGTATTTATTTTAGTTAGTTTATTCTTTCATACGTTTAATTCGT